CCGAGACGCCGAGCGCGCCTTTGCTTTCGATTCCGGTGGGTGGGGCCTGGTGGTGGGCGGGGCTTCACGGGGAAGGGCGACGCCCAGGCGGGGACGCCGGCGGGGCGGGTCTTGTCCGGGGAGGGGCGGGGCCGGGCTGCGCGGCTGCCGCGTGAATCCAGTCCCCGCTGCGCGGTGCGCCGGCCTCTCCCGCGCTCCAGTCCCGCTTCGCGGGCGCGGGGAAAACCCGCCCTGGTCTCGGGCGGGCTGGGCCGGCGTCCCCACTGAGGGCCGCAGGGACGTGCCGGAGCATCCTCCCGAGTGGAGACGCGCCGCCCAGGAAAGATGAGCGCTGCTGAGTCCATGCCGCGGGCATTCAGAGCAGCCGCCTCCATCATGCAGTGCTTGGTTAGGGTTAAGGAAATCCACCTGCTTCCGGCAGCCCCGTGACTGTAGGGAGCCCTGAATGCAGGTGGCGTGAGAATGACAACGATATTGGGAAGAGCTCTGAAAACGAAAATAGCGTAGACCGAGTTGGGGGAGGGGCGGGCTAGCGGGCCGCTGGACTCAGACCCTCTGAGCTGATGTCCTGCACAAGCGTGGGCCTTGGCTAACCTTTTAACCTCTCTGAGACTCAGTCTCCCCACCTGCAAAATGGACGTAAGAGCAGGTGCCTCTCAGAGGAGCAGGAAGGAAGCAGGGTGAAAGAGGCCTTGAATTGTAGTCAGTCTGGGACAACAGAGTAACTCAGTTGACGTTAGAAAGTCTTCTGTGTGTTGAAAGAATGTTTCTGGTAAAAGCACACAGCGCCCATTTTTGCCAGATTCTGTTACAATCGACTCTTGGGTTTTACCTTGGAATGCTCAGAATTCTTTGCAGGGGCCTCTGGTAGTTAACTGCCCTCCCCTCCTCCTTAGACCTGCTACAGAAGCTGAGCTTGACCACCTGGAACCTTGCTGGAAACCCTCGCTCTGTAATCATGATTGGCCCAAATCGTTTTTCTCACCTCTCTTCCACCAAGTGTCTGGAGCCACGTGTATCCACATTGTAATCTCCGAGTGTCCACAGGCAAGGTCCCCAGTGGTTCTGTGTGCAAAATAAAAAGGCCTCAGTGACCCGTGTGCGGAGGGGAGAATTATCAGACTTCTGCTTTTTAAACCTCTAAAAGGTCTAGGTTGACTAAATTGACATTTAAGACACTATTAAAAAGTTTGCTCTATTCACTAATTGTCAATGATCATCATATACTTAATTTTCAGGTCAGCATTTTTTAACAGCTTTATTAAGGTATAATTAACATACAGTAACTGCACTATGTAAAGTATACAAAGTTGTGACATGTTTACAGGCCATGAAACCATCACCACATTCAAGGAATGTATGCGTCCATCACCACCCCCACCCCGAGGCTTCTTCAAGCCCCCGTAACCCTTCCTGCCCGCCACCAAACTCTGCATTGCACTTGGTCACTGCAGAGTAGTTTGCATTTTCTAGACTTTTATTATAAATGGAATGTACAGTATGTACAATTTTGGGTCTGCCTTTTCACGCATCATAATTATTTTGAGATTCATCCAGGTTGTTGCACATGAGTGCCGTTCATTCCTGCTTAGTGACAGGCAGGTGCCCTGGGTTGTTTATTCCTCACATGATGTTCTTTGGGGCTGTTTTCAGTTTGGAGATATTGGAGTCAATCTGCTATGAACACACATGTACAGGTAAGTCTCTGTATGGACATATGTTTTCACTTTTTGTAGTTAAATACCTACCAGTAAACTGGCTTCTCATGGTAGTTATATGTGTAAGTTTTTAAAAAAATTTTTAAACAACTTTATTGTGATATAATTTCTGTAAACTACACATATTTCAGATGTACAATTTGATGAATTTTTATAGATGTATGTACCAATGAAACCACCACCACAATCAAGATACCTAACATTTCCATCACTCCCCAAGGGGTGCAAATCTCGAACTCCCAATTTGTCCCTTCCCACCCCCTCCATACCCCAGTAACCATAAGTTTGTTCTCTATGTCTGTGAGTCTGTTTCTGTTTTGTAAATCAGTTCATCTGTGTCTTTTTTAACTTTTTAAGAACCTGACAAACTGTTTTCCACAGTGACTGTACCGTTGAACACACTCCCATCAGCAGCATGAGAGAGTTCTGAGTCCCACACACCCTCATCAAACAGCCAGGACAGTATCAGTCTTTTTCATTGTAGCCATTCTAAGGGGTCTCTCGGGGTGGTTTTAATTTGCATTTGCAGGAGAAACCTTTGTGACCTTTAATTAGACAAAGATTCCATAATAAAACACCAAAAGCGTGATGCATAAAGGGGTAAATTGATAAACTGGACTAACGGAGCCGAAAATGTCACACACACATCAACTCGAATACCTTCTAATGTTTTGTCTCCTTAGAAAACAAAAGCCATTTTTAAAACAGAGAGTTTATCTCTAAAGAATCTTCGAGAATTATCTGGGGAAACTCAGGCAGTTAGCCAACACCCTGTTGCCGCGGGGTCCTCCCCCCACCCCGCCTGCGTGTTCCTCTGCGGGGCGAGCCGTGGTACCCAGCAGGCACAGCTCACGGCCTCCAGGCCCTCCACCATCAGCTGCCGCTCAAACACTGCCCTGCGGTCCCCAGACACGTCCTCTCATTTACCTTGAGGACTGTTCTCCACAAGCCCAAACCCTACCCCAGCCCAAGTTCAGCAGACGACCCGGCTTCTGATTTTACAAAGAAAATACAGGTTGTCAGGCTCCACCTCCCCAGCTCCTTGTTGCTCCACTCAAACCCTAACCTTCGCGCGACCCCATTCTTAACCTCCTTCCCCTTATTAATTGAGAGGTGCCCCTCCCCCACGTCATCAGGGACCCACTTCATCAACCGTGGTGGTGGCTTCCCCAAGACTCTGAGATCTGCATGGAAACTTCCCTCTCCCTTTGCCCCATCCTACGTCCTCTCCCTCCCTTCCACGGTGCTTCTCTCATAAATGTTCAGACTAAGCTCTCTGGTTTGCTTTCTACAGAACCCAACCTGGGACAGCTCCTTCTGTGGCCCGTTTCATCTCACCTGACACTCTCCCTGGGCAGCTTCATCCACGGCCATGATTTTGCGCATCACCCACTCTCTAAAGCATGAGTCTACAGCCAGCCTGGCTCTTCTTACACATCCAAGCCCAGCTGCCTACCGGCCAACACTCCTAACTGTCCCCAGGCACCTGGACCCTCAGTGCATCCACACCTGAACTCATCCTCTCAGCCATCCGCTCAGGCTGCCCCCAGCCCTCTCCCTACATTGGTGAATGCGCACCTGTCACGCCCTTTCCACAAAACACAAACTCAGGAATTGTCCCTGTTTCTGCAGACTTGCAGACACCTTCCCACGCCCCTCCGGCCCGCCGCCCTGGGGCAGACCCGCCTTCTCTCACCTGGGTGCTGCTGGAGCACCCTGACTGGACTGGCTTCCTGCTGTCTGCTTCACTGGCTCCCAGTTTGTCTTTCTCACCATCACAGAGAGATCTACTGAATGGACAGGCCCACCCACGTTACTCCCCCTAGTGAAACACTCTTCAACGATGTTTAGCCTGCACACCTTGGCAGACCCCCAGCTGCTGGTCTCCCTCGTGTCCCTCCTCCCCTCACCTCCCCACTTCGTGCTCTGGAGACGCTGAGCTCCACGAGGTGGCAGAACCACCCCCTCCGTTTGCCCTGTGCTCCATCCAGTGAATGCAGTGCCCCCGCCCCCGCCCTGACTTTCCTGCAGGAGAAACCCCTCGACCGGGGGTTCGCCCCAACTCTGCCCCTTAGGGAAGCCTTCCCTGCCTCGGCTGAGCAGGCTGCAGCTTCTCCTGGCCTTCCTTCAGTTTTAACCCCCACAGAGCAATCATGTCATGTAACCTTTCCAGGCCCATCTTCCTTCTGCAGGGCAGCTACGGGGTGTTTCATCTTCAGTGTGGTACCCGGCCAGGGCCCTGCCTGTAGGAGGCCACAGGGAACTCCTCAGGGCTGCAGCTCCCGGCCTGGCCCACCACTGATTAGCTCCGGGCCTCTCCGCTGGGTCTGTTATCCTAGCTGTAAATCAAGAAGACTGGCTTCAACCATCTCCAAGGTGCCTTCCAGGGCCAGCACCCTATGAAGATCAGATAAGAACGCAGACCCGGAACAAGATCCCTCAGTCCGCCCTGAGCAGGGGGTGTGATTCCGCAGGGGGCCGCTGGGCGGCAGGTGGGAAGGAAGTGGGCTCCGTGCGCCCTGCAGCCTGGGCTTTTGCAAAGCGAATGGGGAGGCTCCGGATTCCTATCCTCAACTCAGAAACTCCGTCAGGGCCAGTCTTTTGTCTCAACTCCGCAGTTTTAGAACGCTCAGGTGAAACAGCGCGTCCTGTTTCTCAGGTAGCCCACAGATGTAAAAGCACCAGCAGGAGGCTGCGAAAGAGGCCAGCCGACCAGCTGTCCACTTGAAGCAAGGGCGGGACCCTGGTGGTATGATTGATCCCTCTCCTCTTTCTGCCACCACTTTGGGTTGTGAGCCTTTGTCTGGTGTGAATCTCATTCGGAACCAAGAACTATGGGATTTTAGATGACGGATAAGAGAACTGCCCGTGGAGAGGACGCCTGTCAGCTCCCTTCCAGGCGAAGGTGAGTCCTAGGTTCATCGCATGCACCACCTGGAGATGCAGCTGCCCGCCCCCCGACCCCGTGCATTCACGGTGCGTTCATGGTACCGGTGAATCTCAGGAGCATCCGGGATGTTTACAGCATCATAAGAGTCTCTCATGAGATCCTTGGGCCTTTAACCCAAAATCACACCCAAACTCTGTTACAAGCCGTGGCTGACAGTGCGATATTCGGGTGAGTAGTAGACCACCTTATGCTATGGTCATGTCTTAGCCCTGAAATGGCAGTGGTCTTGATGCAACAAAGTCTGTCTTCAGCTCATGATGTATTTCTAGCTTGGAATGGGATGAGGGAGGAGGCAGGGTACTCTGCTCCATATGGTCCCTCGGGGACCCCCAGCTGCCACCTTGGTCACAGCAGCAGAAGCGGAAGCTGCAGTCTTGGGTCCTTCCTTTTGATGCTTGGACTTAAAAGTGACCCATCACATCCTATCATAGCCCAATTGCCAGAAATAGTCACCTGTCACTGCTTACCCGCCAGAGGGTTGCAGGGGAGGGGGAGATTGGGTCCAAATGTGGACACAGGCAGAATTTTGATGAGCGCCACTGTGCTGCCACAGTGACAAAACAAGGCATGATTTACTGAGAGTTACCACGTCTGCCAACCACCGTTTGTCCAGATTTTCCAGTGGCCTGAGGTCAGGAGGCGCTGCCCAAAGCTGTGTTCCCCCCGCAAGTGGCTAAACTCTTTGAGTCTTTTTCTGACCTGAAGAGCATATGATCACCCACATCCTGCTGCAGATCTGTTCCTCCCACCAAATCTTCTCCAACTGACCCATTGAGTCCACTTCCGTCCCGTGACTGTGGTTGGAGGTAAGCCCTCCACTGGCGCCCTGGCCCCTCCTCTCCCCCCAGGACGGCACCCAGCCGCCTGCAACTCTCTCCTGCGTCCTCGATTTTCTCCTCCCCGGTAGACTGTTCTCACCGGCACGCAGACGTGATCTCTAAACATCTTTGTCTCCCTCGTTGACTGTGCACCCCTACCCCATGCCTGCAATTCCACACCCTTTCTCTCCTGAACTCACTCCGTCAGGCTGCCTTCCCACCACTGGGCGCTCCCACCGAGACCACCAAAGACCTCGGTTGTCAGAGCCGCCGCCTGACGCAGGCTCCTCCTGTTCGGGGCTGCCTCCTCCCATCAGCCCCCTTGTCAGTCTCCCCCGCTGGTCCTGGGCCACAGTCCCAGCCTCCCCTGAAGTGTTCCAGGGTCCACCTGCTCCTCCAACCGCTCTCCCTGCCAGGGGCCCCACCCTCTCACCCAAGCCCATGGCTTCTGTTCCTTCTGCACACTGATTTCTCCCAAATTTGTGTCTCCAGAGCCAATCTCCTTCCTGGGCCCCAAACCTGTAAGGTCAGCGGCCCCTCCGGCATCTCCATTTGAACATGCCCAGAAACCAACAGCTGCGTCAGGGTCCCCCAGGAAGCGCGCCTCCCACGGTCTCCTCTGCGGAATGTGCCCCTGATTTGGGGGATTCAGGCGTCTTCTCACACCTGCACCTCCTTCATCAGCAAGTCCCGCTGGCTCCGTCCATCACCTCCCGTCTGGACTCATGCTAACCTTCTAAATGGCCTCCCTGCCTCCACCCTCACCCTCTTACCACCTATCCTCGATGTAAAAGAGTGATTCCTTTGAAACAGCTTTCCTCTGACCTCATTTTTGAAATAGAAGGATTAGATTTTCAAACCAAAATTGCCTAATACGAGCAGCCTGTTTCCAGGGAAGGCTTCTAGAATGCTCGCCTTTCTTGGGGCTATCAGAACCATTCCCATTTTGTCTAGTTTTCCCTATCAGGCCTCGAACCCCCCAGAGGCTAGTATTCCCAGTGCATGGACCTCCTCCCCGCCCTCCCCCCGCCTCCTCACCCCAGCCCCCCCCACTCGCTCGTCACAAGTGCAGACAAAATATTTTTTGCTGGTAGCAGCTGTCCCACGGCATTTCTTAGTGCCCAAAGGAAAACCCCTGCCCACGTTCTGATGTCATCAGGCTCTGGCACCAAAGGAAAATAAGAGAATCCTATCAGTTTGCTCCAGAAACAACGTTTAAAGTGCACGGAGACCCAGGGAGTTATCAGTTGCTCACCGCCAGAATTGCCCTCTGTGAGATTTTTCTAAAACTCCTTTTAAAATGTCAAGGCAGTTTCTTTACCAACTATCTTTCAGTACAGCCCTGCGCCACCCAGAGGTTTATCTGCTCAGCCTCTGGGCAGACTGGGTGCTCCGCCCTCCAGGCCACAATGGAAGCTGCCATCACTCCACCCTGGACTGGGCAACAGCCCCATTCCCCCCTCCCTTGGAGCAGGTCTGGCCTCTGTCTCTGGATGAGCCATGGGAGATGAATAAAAAGGTTCCTCCCAGACTAGCTGGCCAGGGGAGCTGCCGGCTGGATGCGCGCAGTCTCAGGGCAGGGTGGACAGGAGCCTGGGATTCAGGAGAGGAAAGCAGGAAAGGGGGCTTCCAGCAAGGGGCGTGGCTATTCATTCCCCCCAGCCCTGCTCCCCCAGCAGCTTTTAGGACACCCCAAGCTCTGGGAAGAGGATTTCTTCTTGACCCCCAGGCAGAGACCAGAGGATAATTAACAATGGGGGGCAGGCTCGGGGCCACAATGTGGGGTGAGGCCAGGAGTTGGGGGGCAGGTTAGGCCAGGCAGGGGGCCGGGCCTGGAACGAGGGGACAATCAGGCTGAAGAAGAGAGGCACGTGCGCCAGGGCCACCAAGACAGGTAGGGGCGGGCCGGGGCAGCTTGTGTCCTGGAAGTCCAGTCAGTAAGAGGGGGTCACGCATTGGGGACCCTCATATTATCCAGGTTGAGTCTCATAAAAACCCCGAGTGGCTGTGTCGACATTCATATTTTCAAACAAGGAAATGAAGCCCCAGAACAGACAAGGGGCCCTGAAGGCACCTGGGTGCTTCCGGCGGAGGTGGGCCTCCATCCTGGGAGCCAGGCAGCCGGTATGCAGGGCAAGGAGCCAGGGTGGAGGGAACACACGGGCTTCGGGGGGTAGGGGCGCTCCACACCGCCTCCCCACAACCGCTCCCGTGGCTGAACCTCCGATGAGGCCCTGATGATGCACCGGGCCTCCAGGGCCTCGTCGCCAAAGCCAGTGGGGCTTAAGTCCTCTCCCTCTGGGATCCCAATTTTTAATATTCTACTTAAGTGTGGGTCATAAGCAAACTCACACACCTGGAGGGGGTCTTTTCACGGATGGTGTGTTCCCTTCGGGTAGGGAAACGTAGCTTTAGTGCGTGTGGCTGGGCTGGGGGTGACTTTAAGGCTCTGGAGCGTGCACCTGGGGTGGGTAAGGCACAACAAGGCTCACCGAGGAAGCCAAGAAGCAACTCCGCCAGCACAGGCGATGGGGTTTACATCCCTGGGTCCAGCTCAGAGCTGAGGAGGGGCCCGCGGCCTCTGGGTGAGGCTCCTGGGGCTTGAGCAGAATCCCGAGATGGCAGCCAGGGGACCGAGAACAAAAGGCTGCTTCTCCGCGTGTGTCCCTCCTGCTGAAACCGATCATGTGACGCAGA